ACCCGACCCAACTCTCCTGAGGGTTTTAATCGCAAAATTGAAGAAGAGTCATCTCCCTCTTCCATCTGTCGCCGCATCGGGGGATCCCTGGAGCCAATCGCTGCAATAAACTGGACTAACTGGCACACCGCCGTCAAGGTCCTCGAACCGAACTGAAACTGTAACTGTAACGACCGGACCTGACCTTCACGGCGCTACATGAATCATGGGCGGGTCGGACAAAATGTCCGCTTCGGCGGAAAGTCTACGGACATCGTCGTTGCGGCCGTTCGTTTTGAGCATACCTTTTAAGTATTTTGTTGTTGGTGGTGTCAGCCTGCCGTTCTTTGGCATGTGGCTGTGCGCAGTTTTATCTGCTTCATTTTCCTTTGAAGAAGTTACGGAATCTGTTTGTGGGGTAGGTTGATTTTTTTAACAAATAGCATTTTAAGGTGTCTAACTTTATTCCTTCTATAAGCGCTGCCACTGGAATAACACCACAGTTGTACTTCTGGCGATATGCCATAGGCTTTCACAGTGCACCGCGTATTTTACTCGCCGCTGCCTACTACCAGTATTATAAAATGTTCACCGAGTGTCTTTCTTATTCATTTTATTACAATCTGCTAACAAAAATGGCCCTTTTGCTCAATATTCTCGATGTCATAACATTTTTGGGAGTTGCCTTTGTATCCAATCGAGAGAATTTCCGTAAGTCCATGTTTGGTAGAATTCTATTTCTGCAGCTATCCACGAGGGGCTGTTCATCATATTCCTCTTTGCTTCATCGCTTTACATGTTGACAGTCCTGACTATACATGAAATACTGCGGAAGCACAACATGCTGTCTTCGAGGGTTTGTTATTCACGATTTAATTACATTTTCCTGCAGCTTAAGCATTCGTACACGATGAAGTTCACGTTTTTCATTTCTACTTTGATTCTAATCGGAATCCTCGCGTATCACTTTCATGCACATCGTTTTTTGTGCAGACCTAATGGTGAGTTTCATTCAGTGATTGCAAAGAATATGTCGCACTTCTCGTTCCTAATTATTACTCAACATCTATTTAACACGCCACGTCAACTGTCCCCTGCGAGTTAGCCACTAGCTCCACCATTGTAGACCGGAATGGGTTTCGGTCAGAAATGACTGACTCAAAGCTGTCAGAAGCCTCGGGTGCTTCGGAAATCCTTTCCGCATTAATGCTACTTCAGGTAATAAGTTTATGGATAGCTTGCTATGCTACCTTAGCGGCTCCCTCAGTTCAGTTCACACACACACATTGACCATGCACTTTCGTGCGCCGATTTTTGTTGCTGTCTTTTGGTTGCCCATTTGGATAGAATAGCAGAATGATTAGAATGTTGAGAGCAGATTTAAGCGCAAGGTAGCACATTTTCCTAGACTGAAGTTACAAGAATAATGAGTAGATGCATGAGCGCCACTGTTTGCGATACCCAGCCCTATCGCTCAATGTCTCTAACCATCGGTGACCATGATCTCTGGGTCCCCAGCCAGGGAGCTTAACGGGACCTATGTGAGCCAGTCTTCTGGTTAGGATTTTCATACCCTCATGTCTTGGCTTGATCGCCCTTGACCCTTTTCCAACCGCTACTTGCCTCGCCAAGCATCGCTCGCAGTAGTAGCACACTGTCGTCTGCATTATCTAGATCAGACAGTTTGCCACCTGGGAGTTAATCGATGCCATTATCCTCACA